TGCCCCCTAGACCAGACCAGTCGAATCGAGGCGAAACGAGGGGAAGGGAAAATTACCTTAGAGGGAAAGAGTTGGTGGCAAAACGTTTCCTGTGAGATCTCTTATGAGCCTCGCTCGGCTCGGGGTTCGTGTTGTGGTGCGTCAGCTGACGCTAGCTACTTACTCACGACGCTCTTTTGCTGATTCGGGGATACTCGGATTCACTCATTCATTTTCAGAGTCGAGCAGCGCACGTGCTTTCGCTCACTATGGTTATCTCTGTTTTCCCTTTCCATTGTGTACACTCTCCGCCAAGAGGCCCCGCATGTGCTCACCCTTCTTACTGCCCGTCAGGTGCAGAGGGGGTCGGCGGGTCGGCTCGGCAGTCACGTGTTATTGGGGCCCACGGTGCGGGTCACGCCGCATTTAGCGTGTTAAAACGCCAATGCGCATTAAAATGCCCATGAAAGGTATCACATTTTTGACGGATGCGGCAATGCGCATTAAATGTGTCTAAAATGTATGGTACCTTTTAGGTGCATTAATTTAATGTGCACTCTGCCAGATGGGCGCTGCCCGGTGCACGAAGAGTGACGAGTTAGTAACCGTGAGTGACTCTGTGCCGAGTTCCCCATACGGCTTATACAACCACAAGCGCATCGCGGAAAGATTTTATAACAAAGCCAAACTGTACTGCTGTTTGTTTTGTGAGCCGCGCGCCGCTCCTTGCCCAGAGCGTTGGCCTCGGCCGCCTCGGCGCGCTGGACCTGCGGGGGGTACGGCGGGGGGTACGGCGGGTCACGGTGAGGGTGGGGAGCCCGGGCCGATAACCGCGAGGGCCGCGCAGCGCAGGGCTGACGGGCTGATAGCGACCTGGCCGAAGGTGGAGGGTCGTTCGACTAAGGTCCGGGAGTTCCCTGCAAGAGTAAGGGGAAAGGGAGGGGGGGGGAGTAATAATCACATATCAAACTATTTCCAATCGGCATCGTCGGTCACTTTCATGAACAAAATGACGCTGGACGCGTTGCGTTTCTTCTGAACGGAAGAGCAAGTCGACAATAATTAGCAAGTGCGATCAGAAGCAAATTACTTGTTCACTAACCACGCGACCAACGGCTGTCACTACAGTGCCTCCCAGTGTTGTGGCCTGGTTAGTCAAGTTGGGGAGCGTTACGCGTTCTGGCCCGCCGGCTGGCTGGTGGGGCTGGCTGGTCCCGCAAAGCTATGCGAGATTATCGATGCGACAAAATTGCCTGATGGCGTTGGGGGCCCAGCCCCCCCCCCCTCCCCCCCCTGTGGAGACCTTGACATTGCTGAGTAGCGAAGCTAGGCGGTGAGGTGAGCGGAACAGCTGATGGTGACAGGGTGACTGACGTGGTGCTTCCCTTTGGCTTTGTTCGCAGGCAAGACAGCAGTCGTCCGCCGTTACACAGACGGTAAGTATTGGGGCGGCGGTTAGAGCAGTGGCATTCGGTAAAGGAAAGCATAATAAGGCACGTATGGGTATTCAGCCTCCTGGACTTCCCTCTTTTCTGCGCGTTTTGCCATAGGCGCGTCGATCCAGGGGGAGAGGCAAGTAGAAGGGTGACCCCCCCCCCCACTTTTTACAAAACGCCTGTAACGATAATTTCCGCCTTGTCAAAAGGCATATGTGCGTGCGTCGACCCCCCCCCCCTCTCCCTCATCCGCATTTCCCCAGCTCTAAGCTCCGCGCCGTTCTCACTCTCCAGGCCGCTTCTCTTCCAACTACAAAATCACGATAGGAGCGGACTTCTCTATGCGAACCTTGCAGTGGGACGACAACACCAAGATCAACCTGCAGCTCTGGTGAGTGGCTTGGGCCCGGCCCGGCCTCAGGAGATGAAAAAGTCACCCCTTTGAGCGACCTCACTCAACAATGCTCCGCACAATCCTTTAATCATAAAATTTGTTTATTTGTTGCAGGGACATTGCGGGTCATGAGCGCTTTGGTTGCATGACCAGAGTGTACTACAAATATGCGTGAGTCTAGAGGCGACGATGAGGGTGCCCCTATCACTCCGAGATTACATATGGAAGGAATTTAAATTTGGCTCTTGTTTGTAGCGTTGGCGCCGCGATAGTGTTCGACCTCTCGCGGACAGCAACTTTCCAGTCCGTACGCAAGGTAAGTAAGGGAAGTCCCCGACTCTGGTACCGGCCCCACACACACTCAGGTGACAAGGGACACATTGTATCCGTTACAAGAGTGACAAATTTGTATCTTAGACTGGACACAAATAAATTGTCCAGCTGAAGCTGAAGAGACAAAATTGCCACCACTGGGCAGGTTTAACAATTGCATCTTGGAGGATGCGCTAACAGATGCATCCCTTGCCAATTAGAGAGCACAGAACGTTTCTGGAGTCGACGCTATCTAGGTGAGGCGACGAGGCGAGGGAACAGTTCGGGCTCTTCCCGCACAGGCAACAGCTTTCTGATTCCGTCATGCTGTATAAATTACCTGGTTCTAAAACCACACACTCGAGGGCCCGCTCTGTGCTGTATAGAGAGTGAGGGGGGGGGGGGACTTTTCCCTCTGGAAGAGACAGTCTTTAGGGGACTGTTTTAAAAAGACGTACGTCGATGATCGCGCCTGCAACGCGCTGGGTAGGCCAGCCCGCCGAGCAGCTGTGTGGGGCGGGCGGCCCGCCCTGGACGCCCGGACGGGCTCCGGCGAGGGAGTGTTTAGCACGCTGCCTCGGGGATCAGTGATTGCCAGGGAACTAAGGCAACCTAGTTAAGGGGGATCATGAGCTTCCAAGTTACAATAGGCATCAACCGACAATCTTTCTGCTCACGCCCACGTCAAATACACTAGTAGCCGAGATGCGCTCCAAAAGGTCCCGCATGTTTGGCGTGTTTTTGTGTTCTAGTGCCATTTTGTGGCAATAGAGCGTAAAATGCGAATTTCATGCGGATCAAGTGCGCTAAAAATGTGGGATCTTTTACGCGCATCTTGATGCGGATTGCCGTTTGTTAGCGCTACTGTCAGATGGAGGTCTCGCAGGCGTTGCGGGTGGACTCGACTCGGTATCGCCAGAAATGTTGTCCGTTGTTTCCTGGGCGAGGAGGGCGGCACAAAGGTAGGCTGGCCATGACCTCCCGCGTCTCCTGTTTTGCAGTGGCTCAAGGACCTGCGCGAGAAGCTGACCCTGGCCGACGGAGAGCCCGTGCCGATCGTACTGCTGGCCAACAAGTGCGACATTCCCGGCTACGGCGTCCAGCCCGAGGTCGTGACTCGCTTCTGCAAGGAGCAGGGCATCCAGGCGTGGTTCCTCACATCCGCAAAGACCAACGTCAACGTTGGTACGGAACTGAGTGCGGTGCGGCTGTCGGTAGGAAACTGGGTTCACATCAATCGAACTTCTTACAAACTACTTCTCTATGTTTTGTTTTGCAGATAAGGCGATGCAGTTTTTAGTGGAACGTGCCATGGGTTCACGCCATCGAGAAATCTCACGAGAGAGTGACGCTATTCTTCTGAACAATGAGTGCAACGAAGACAATGCAGAGAAGGTTGATATTTGTTGCTGACAGCATATGCTAATAGAAACATTGGAATATCTATACAAGACTGAAATAATGTTGGACCCTGTAATTTATTTTAGATAGGTTAATTGTTTAGGCATTTTACCCAATATTCTATTATTTTGAAGAGATTAAGACTGTTTATATATCAATAGCATAACATTTTGTATAAAAAAATACTTAAGTATATGTTTATATATACATTTTTATTTTTGTTTTAAAAGGATTAGATAAAATGTACTATATTGAAATGATCAGTAACATTGTATGTATATCATTAATTTATTATACGAGGCTCACTAGCAAGAAGCTTCCACTCACACCAGAAGAATTTTTTTCAACCCCCGAAGATTGAGAACAATACACAGCAAAGTGCAGCCGTGCAAGGCCAATCCTCTTACTTTGAAATTGATACTTTATAATCAATGTATTGTTTTCAATGGTATACAATGTTGTACTTTGAAGTCTAACATAATTGCTTGAGCACCTAGTTTTGGACTAGAACTAATAATCTTTGCAATCCATACAAAAACAACTCTGAAGTTCTTGCATTTCAAAAACCACAGGCAATCTTGTTCCGTGTGTTTTGGAGGTCTTAAAATTAGAGACATCATCCATTGGGATTTCAGCCACCTCCACTTTCTGCTGTAACATAAAATACATGAATTTCCATACTTCAGGTAAGACTTTATTGCTGTATGAGGAGATCTTCACCTTTTCTTCCTTTAGTTTTCATATCCATCCCATATATCGTGCCTGGTGTATTTGTTTCGGTTTCGGCATAATCTTGAATAAGTGATTGCTGCTCATTGGTGAGACGGCTGGGCATTCCTATTTTCAATGTAACAAAATGATCACCAAATCCAGTACCTTCTAATTTCTTTATACCAGCTCCCTTTAAACGAATCACTGTGTGAGAGGAAGTAAGAGGCGCCACCTGAAAATCATAATAGCATTTGCTTTAATATTCATTGAACAATTGATTTATATTATGTGTAGAACTGTACTACCTAGTGACCAAAAAAGTACCTGGACTGTTTGATTTTCTCGCACCCCTTGAATTTGGATAGTTCCTCCAAGGACAGCTTGAGATAGAGATATTGTAGCATCTGTGTGGACATTTGCTCCTTCACGTTTAAAATACTTGGATTTTTCAATTCTCACAGTAGCAAAAACCTCTCGATTTGGAACTTGTATTCTAAGTACATAACCATTATCCACACCTGAACAGAATTTCATTTTACAATAAATATATATTACAACGAATGGCTGTATATTTCATAGTAAAACAATTACCAAGAAGTGTTTGGCAAATGTTGTACAGAGTATCATCTCCAGCCTCCAGCAAATATTTCAACACACACACACACACACAAAAAAAACAACAACAACACACACACTTTAAATACCCTCACCTGCAGGAACTGGAATACTTATTTTTCTCTTCTGTATAGCAATACCCTTTGCATCACATTCTGGGCACGGAAATTTGATGTACTTTCCAGTGCCCTTGCAACCACGACATGTGCTTCTCATGACGAAGGGACCTGTTAAGAGAGTGTTCTCAATTAGAGTTAGAAAATTCATTCAAATTAAAACCCAAACAACTAACTGAACATACCATTGCTAATAGTTTCCATTCCTGAACCATTGCACCAAGTACACGGGCCAGCTATAGTTCCTGGCTGACAACGTGAGCCTTTGCAAAGTCCACATGTGTCAACAACATTGATGACAGCTTCTTTGACAACACCCATGGCAGCTTGATGGAAAGTAAGATTTAAAATAATCTGAAAAAATGAAAATATGTTTAGCTTGCTGGAACATGAGCAAAACAAGTACACACAGACGAGTAGTATTTTGAGTGTACTTGCTTTGTATGTTTTAGTGAGCACCTTAAATTGGCATTACAATAGAAAAAAGAATCCTACCTCTTCAGCAGCAGCATATCCATGTTTGTTTGCCATGTGATCAGTTTCATGAAGTTTCTCACCAAAAGCACCAGGATTAAAACCTGCTTCTCCAAATATTTTTCTAAATAGTTCCTCAGGGTTCAAGTCAGACTCAAAATTCCAATTTTTGAAGTCAGCAGTCTGTCCCCTTCTACCCATTTGTTCAGATGTTGTTCCCCATTGATCATATTCTTGTCGTTTGGTTTCATCACTTAGGACCTTTAAAAAATAAGCAATTTGTTAAGTAATAATAAAAAGGCAAAAAATTAATAATAATAAAAAACCAGCAAACATTCTATTTTAATGCTCACTTCATATGCTTCTGATACTTGCTGAAATTTACTGGCAGCCTTAGGATCATTCTTGTTGGTGTCTGGGTGGTACTTCTTTGCTAATTGATAATAAGCTTTTTTTATGTCCTTAGGAGATGAATTACGGGCAACTCCAAGCACTTGATAATAATCTTGTTTAAATAAGCATGGACTGTTATGGAATGAGCATGATGTAGCTAAAATTGAATTCATACCTAAAAACAGAAGATTTGAAGAGTTTTTGATTTAATTGAACTGTTACAGAAAGTATTGCAGACACAGAGAAATACGCGAAACAATAAATTAACTGTTGATGACAAAGTATCCAGAACAGGCAGTATTGTCACTACTCATAAGTAGGGGGATATAAATATCTGTTATTTGTTACAGTGACTAAAATTAAAATATTATTACAGTCATCATAGCGTGCAGCAGGGAAGAAAAAAAAAATGTTCTTTTTCAAAGTTAACCTACCAGTAGCAAGGGATGATAGCAGAGGGGGGACTTTTCGAAGTTTAGAAACATCACAATTGTAACATATATGGAACGACTTTGACGATCCATTGATTGCACTACTTAATTGAACAGTTTTACGTTGAAATAGCAGACTGACTCCCCTAGTTGTTGCCATTATTGTGAAATTAGCATTCGCCGTGCTAGCGGCGCTCGCGGGGAGCCCGAGAAAAGGAGGAAGAAGGGGAAGGGGGTCGGGGGGTGGGGGATGCAGAGCAGAGCCATCTGTCGGCCGAGTACGAAACCAACCGTCGTCCGCTTGAATTTGTGACTTGTCAATTGTCTAGTCAGTATTTTGTTGTTGCTGCACCACTATTAATTTTTTAAAAGTTGAATTGAATTCGCAGTTATGTGTGCCGGCAGAGTTAAAACAGCACGAGGGACGGGAGGTAAGGGAATGCTTTTATTCTGTAGGACTCATGATATTTGAGCCTCGCGGGGGAAACAAGTCTTTTAGAATAGGTTAAAGGGTTCTGATTGACTTCTTTTAGTATTTCCTACTTATTCACATACATACAATCTCTATCATTAAAATTTCCCAACCTTAAGTGTATTTCAAAGTGTTAAGCTCAATTTTAAGTATGGTTTAGTGTGGTTTCTAGTTTGTTTACTAGCTCTCATTACTTATCTCATCTTGCATGCACTTAGCTATTATTTTTCTCTTATGATTTATAATAATTTTCAATTGCAGACATTGTAGCCTTCAGTGAAAGTGCAGTACGTAATAATGCAGCAGTGGTCGAATACTGTAGGACATCAATGTCAGCTCTCTCAGGTTCGACAGCTGGGATACTCGGTCTAACCGGATTTCTAGGATTCGGCTTCTACCTATTTGCAGTTTTTGGTTTGTGGGTAAGCTAAGAAATTTTAAAGAAGAATGACATAATATCAGTTATTTATCATATGTCAAGATGAATCATGTTTCATACCTGATCTAACTACTGTTATTTTTTTTATTCAGTGCCTTCTTTTGTTGAAAGCTGGTGTAAGATGGGAAAAATATTTCACCAACAGAAGAACTCTTTTAACCAATGGATTTCTTGGTGGCTTATTTGTATCCTTTACAAGTTGTTTACAACTGCAGTGTGTAATCTTTTTCGTTGTCTTACAATTGATTTTTCTTAACTTAATTATTCAGACCTATATTCTCTTTTGGACATTTTTATATGGAATGGTGCATGTATACTAAGAAGTGATATAAAGAAAACATAACATTTCCTACAACAGTATTCTTATGTTTGCTGACTCGTGGCAGAGCATATCTATATTCAAGTCACAGACTCAAGTTTTTTTTGTCTAAACTGTCACAGCATGGTGGAAATGCATCTTCATCCCTTAACATAAGAATCATTTGACTTTCCTGGGATCAATATGAGTTTTAACTCTTCATAATGTTAAGCTTATCTATTTATGTACTAATTTCCATTGTTTATTATGTTCTTTCACTTTTGAAGTTATAAGTGCAGATGAAAATTGCCTTAAAAGAAACTATTATTTTTATTTGTGCTCAGCAATTCAATTCATCAAATCAAATGTTTCAATCCTTTTTTTTTATTAAGTTTTAATACACATTTATAGAACTGATTTTGAAATGGTTTCTGTTTCTTTCAGAAACATCCTTAAAAGCTGAATTATTATTTAACTTTAGAGTATGCTGTGTTAGTGTTGTGACTTCTCAGCTTGATGTTAAAAATTCCCCAGTAGCCCCTACACTTTTGAATGGGTTTGGCGCCACTAGCGTTGATTGGGAATTCTTAGGGATTGGAAATCCTTCTATAAAACAAACCAAATTCATTGAAAGAATCGCTACAGGGTTATTAAATTGGATGGCAAACGATGGGTTGAAATAAAATGTTAATGAA